TGAGTGCGCACAAAATCTAGTCTCCGCACTATTGAAGCATCGAAGGATGACATCGGAGGATCATTAGGAAGATCAAGTTAAAGCGCATAATCTGGTCGATAAGAAGTTAACAAAATTCACAAAGAAAAAGATGACTTCAGCAACAACGCCGATGACATTCATTTGCTTACTCGCAAAGAATCAATTCGCTAAGTGAATCACCATGACTTCAAACACCACGTTCGTTTATTATCGGTTTGTATCACTCCGCATCACAAAAAAAAATTTTTATAGAAATTTTCTTTTCAATATAAAAATATTTTTTTTCGTCATTTTCACAATGTTTATTCTAATAGCATTCGCGCCGATATTACAAACGTTAATTATTTAAGCGATTTAAAAGAAATGCGTTTACTATTATTATTTCGAATATCAATTAAAAATTATCATTTAAAAAATGAGCAGTTGCGAGCCATCATTTATTAAAACATTTTAATTTCTATTATTTGATATACTTAACGATTATTATTTAATATTTTCTATTGAAATTTCATTTAGAAAAATTCTTAATTATCGAGACGAGTGAGTACCAGGTGAAATTGTTGAGTCAAATACCCATAAGGTACCCCAACCTTCAGTAATTAACCGAATCATATATTCAGGTGTCATCTGCGAACTTGATAAGTTTGATCAATCTTTACTCATCTGTGTGGCTCGACTCGATTCGCAACTGCTCATCGAACTCCGTCGCAGGTTGAATTGCCTTTTCATGGATTATGGAATCTCTGCTCAATTTATTGTGTCGGCTATCGCGAGCCGAACCCTGACTTACGCTCTTTTAAAAATATTTAAAGACTCGCGAAGTTCGTCACACTGTTTCTGTGCAAGTGTGTTTTTTAATAGCTCGAGGTGTTAGCGGTCGCACAATTTCCGCCAGTAGTGTATCATAAAATAAAATAAATATATTTACAATAAATATATTATACCTATTCTGCAACCTTTTGTGACTAATAATAAATGTAAACAACAAATTGTTAAAAAATACTGAAAATTTAAGAGTAATCCTTTTTCATTTTTTTGCATGGGTCTAAAATAATTTGAGAATTTTACATTTCTTATTGTTATATTGTTATTTTTTAAGACAATTTTTAATTTCATGTTTTATTGAGTAGTAGATAATCCACGTTTCGATATACATAAAAAATGAAAGAAGAAATTATTTTATTTATTTAATATTTTGATGGTGAACTGAAGTGTTGAATTAGGTAACTATACCTAGCATAGCTAAAATGCTAAACTAATTGCTTTTAAATTCTCATTGCCAAAAATGATTTCACTGCAAACTTTGACACTCCAGTTTACCATTTTCTTAAAAAAAGTGTAAAAATGTTAATTTTTGTGGGAGAAAAGGCTGTTACAAAATTTCGATTTTAGCGCTTGGTTTGTTTACCTTTTTTGTTTGTTTACTTTTCACAACTTGGACATGCCCTTAAAGGTCAAAGATATTTGGAGCGTTTTAGTAAATAGCTAAGGGAGCGTTCATAAATTATGTCACGCAATTTTTCGGGATTTTAGACACCCCCCTCCCCCCTGTCACGCAATTTCACATGTAAAAATACATTGTGACACGTTTAGTAGAGACCCCCTCCTACCCCCAAAAACGTGACATCATTTGTGAACGCTCCCTAATTACTCGCGATCGGATGAACCGATTTTAATAAAAATTGGTGGAGAGTTTACCTGAGAAATTGTACTTTAGATAAATAATCAAAATTTTAATTAAAAAATATAATTTGTTTAAATAAATTAACTTTTTAATTTTTGTGGTTAAAAAAATTGTGTTCTCCATCTTTTTTTTATTTTTTTTAATAATCAAATAGAGAATAGTTTTAAGAGTTTATTTGAACAGTAAAAAAGTGGGATTCTCTATTACTTTAGAAAATATAATATTTGAAGTTCTAAAAATTTTTTGAAAAGTAAAAGAGATTTAAAACAAAACAAATGAATAAACTAAACCCGACAACTTTAATTAAAAAATTTACAGATTAACAATTATAGATATATACGTAAAAGCATGAAATCGACACGAATTCATTTGTTTCGCTTTAAATATCACACTTTTCAAAAAAAATTTGAAACTAAAAATATTATATTTTCTAAAGTAATAGAGACTCCCACTTATTTATTGTTTAAATAAAATCTTAAAAGTATTTTCTATTTGATTATTAAAAAAAAATTTTTTTTAAAGTTGGATAACACCATTTTTTGACCCCAAAAGTGAAAAAGTTAATTTATTTAAACAAATTATATTTTTTAATTGAAATTTTGATTATTTATCTAAAGTACAATTCCTCAGGTAAACTCTCCATCAATTTTTATTAAAATCGGTTCATCCGATCGTGAGTAATTAGCTATTTACTAAAACGCTACAAATAATTTTGACCTTTAATAACTTTTGCAAATATTCGAATTTAGAAAAACTATTTACAGGTTTTTATTATATCATCGTAGGCTATCGAAACATATAAGAATGAGAAAAATTCACAGACCCCAAAAAAATAGGGACTTACTTCAGGAATTCTTACCCTTTTATCATGTATGATTGGGTGAGATGACCATTAATGACTTTTATTTAAATTTTTTATTTTAATTTTAGATGGTTAAGAAATATTAAAAAGAAACAATTTAAAAATGTCTGATGTCCTAAGGATATCCGGAAACTATTATATCCGTAGGATGAACCAGGGATACCCTGAGATATTTTAAGGACATCCTAGGGATATCTAAATTTCCGAATGTGACTAGGACGTCTGTAGGATATTTTTGAATATCCGTTCCTGTTAGGGTGAATGATTAAAAATTAAGTTTAAGCTAAAAGCCAAAAGTTAGAAGTATTGGACATCTTCCCCGCATACATGTGGCCATCTTTCCCTGACATTCCTGGACCCCACAGTACCGAAATTTTCCTAAAAATTTATTAAATATTTACTTGCAATATTCGGCATATTTAACTGAAAAGTTTAGTGAAAATTGTGTAAAGATTTAAATGTCCCGATTAAATAAATGTTTAGTGTGAAAATTTCCTGAACATTTAAATGATATTTTTGCCTAATTTTAATTATGATTTCATTGAAAATTTCAATTGAAATTGATTTCATTGAAATGTTCAGGAAAGTTTCGCGCTATAAACATTTATTTAATCGGGACCCAAGTGCGAAATTAAAAACGGCCCAATAATGGTCAAGTATTGGCACAGTTGGTGCCGAATCTTGGCAGACAGTACTGGACCGACTCTTGGGAGGTTAACCGCGGCTGGTCGTCAGCCGAGGTTTGCTGCCAGATCTCGGCAGACATTAATGGCCCAAGACTGGTTGCCATTACTTCCATAGTATTGGTAAAAATGAAAAAAATAATTAAATTTTTTAATTAATTAACTAATTAATTTATACGGCTTATTTTCTCAAATTAAATGCAAACTTTCAAACATTTAAAAAATTCTTACCGCTCGCAGGGATCGACACCTGAACCTGACGCACCAAAGCCTAACACTCTGACCCCTCTGCTACTCTGACGTGAAGTCGAGGAAGCAAAAAGGTTCTTATAAGCTACACTACACTGGCCGATACTGTGCCTTTATTGGTCCGAGCTACGTTCCAATATTGGCAATTATAATTTGCCATCATAGATACAAAATGTTAGCCATTAATGTGCCATTGCTGGGTCAAGCTACCTCCCATTATTGACAATTGTAATTTGCCATCATTAATATAAAATTTTAGCCGTTAATGTGTCATTACTGGACCAAGCTACGACCTAATATTGGCAACTATAATTTGCCAACAAAGATACAAAATTTGTGCTACATATTGCCTATTATTTGACGTCATAGACAAAGAATTTTACCCATTAATGTGTCGTTATTGGGCCGAGCTACGTCGCATTACTGTCAATTACAATTTGCCATGAAAGATACAAAATTTTTGCCATTAAAGTGCCAATAATGAGCAATTACTGGACCAATGGTCGGCACATCACTGACAATTGTATTTTGCCATTAAATATTGACCAACTTTGTCGATAACGTGCCATTATTGGGCCGAGAGTCGGCCCAGTCTTGGAAAATTAGAATATCTGACAATCGGCGCCATCATTGGCCCAGCAATGAGACATTTTGAAAACCAGAAATGGCCCAGTAACTATTGCCAATTCTCGGCAGACATTACTGGACCAATAATGATCTATTTTTGCAGTCTCGGCATTTCGCACTTGGGGACATTTAAATCTTTACACAACTTTCAATAAACATTGCAATTAAATATTCCGAATATTGCAAGTAAATATTTAATAAATTTTTAGGAAAGTTTCGGTGCTGAGGGGGGGGGGAGAGATGGCCTAATGCAGTTTTTAAAAAATGTAAATTTCAAGATTGTTTTTATGAAAATATTTTATTTTTCGTTATTTTAAAATTAAGTGTTCAATGTGTATGGCGTACTTGCGTTTACGAAGGCAAAAAATAGGCCCTATTTTACTGCTTCTTTTTCACAGTCATTTTATTTGAAATATTAAAAACTTTTTTTGTACCTTAAAATAGAATATTAAAACTATAAAAAGAAAAAATTGTTTTGTTATTCAACTGTTATTTACGATTCGTAGAGGGCGCCAAAGTATGGCGGTCTCAAATTCGTAATAGTTTGCAGTGCTCCCGATAGAGCCGCTGCTGACAGTGTAAAATAAGAAAAACAAAATTTATTTCTTAGTATACATTAATACCTAGTGGACTTATGTGATGGAATTTAAAAAAAGTAAAAAAATTAATGAAATTTTTTTAACACAGATGAGCTGGACTGACCCAAAAACTTTTTTAAAGAAAATGAAATTTGACTTGGTATGAAAAAATGTTATAGAGGAAAGTTGTTTGTATTTTGCTAATCTAAAATACTATAAAGTTAAAAATTTGAAAATTTAAAAAAATTGTTTTAAAAATTTTGAATTTACTGTAGTTTTTAACGAAAATGGCTGGCTAACGAACTCGATATGTATTTTAAAACTAACTTTGTACATACAAAGTTGCAAGTTGATACAATAAGTTTTTCAAAAGTTATCGTGGCGACCAGTGCCGAATTTACAAATCTTACCGCTGTGGTGTATTCGAATGTCTTATCATCGAATGTGATTTTTCGGTACATTACGAGACACCTTTCGTCTTTCAAGTGGACCTATGTTTCATTTCATTTTCACACGCACACACATATGTTTTTCCCCTCTTTATATATTTTTGTATTCACGAAGTTGTGCGTTGCTACGACAATCGCGCATGACTTAGATTCTTATCTTCCTTCGAGAGATTTACTTGTTCGTGATACTACGATTTCTAAGTTTCAATTTATCAAGAATTTTATATCTAAAATTATCAGTGTAATTTCAATTAATCCGAAATTGATTGTTCAATAAAATTAAATTGTTTATTTTATTGATTTTTGAAATATTAAATAAATTCTATTATTTGGTTATTAATTCTGTGATTTTCCTTAAAAGAATTTAAAGCACATGTTCGTTAAAACATAACCCCACATTGGTGACCCTCGAACTTGTGTATAAAACGCAACCGCATTGCTGAGTACCCATGAACGCTGTACTGCGGGAGTGTAAAATTTAAACTTTTCTTTTTAAAAATTGTGGTGTCTATCTAGTGAATTTTTCCTTGCTCTCTATTTCAACTCAGTCATGCCTGATGAAATAAAAGTAGATTCGGAACAGTCTACAACAATGCATCAAGATGATGGAGTTTCAAATGCTACTTTGGAGGCTTCAATTGCAAATTTACAAGCTATTTCAATACGGCCACTCAAATTTTGGAGTCATGCACCAGCACTTTGGTTTAAACAAATGGAAAATATGTTTTATTTGGCAAGTATAACTACAGAAGTTACTAAATATAGACATGTAATAAGCAATTTAGACTGGGAACAATTAAAAGAAATTCAAGATATTATAGATCGTGATGTACAAACTATTGAAGCACCTTATAAATTAGTTAAAGAACATTTAATTAGCCGTTTATCTAATTCGCAGAATTTTGATATTAAACAAATGCTTGAACGAGAACAATTAGGTGATAGAAAACCATCTCAACTTCTTAGAGAGTTACAGCGTTTGGGTCACAAGAAGGTCACAGATGAATTCATTCGTACCATTTGGACTAGCCGACTTCCCGATCAACTTCAACCTGTTTTGGCAACGCAACCGCCCGACACGACCTTGGAAAAACTCGGAGTACTGGCAGATACGGTATTTGATTTAGTACCACAACAGCAATTTTCTCAAATTAACGCTACAACCTCAGGTAATACTTTAAATTTATGTAATAAAGAATCTGCTCGGACAGTGTCAAAATCTCAGGATACTGTTAGTCAACTTACTGAGCAAGTTGCTGCTCTTTCAAAACAGGTTTCAAATTTAATTAGAAACTCTAAACATAAATATCGGTCTAGATCTAATTCACGCTCATCATATAATAACAGAAATTTTTCAAATCAAAATAACCAACGTTATAAAAATAATAATGATAATAATAGTTATTGTTGGTATCATAAGAAATTTGGTAAAGCAGCCAGAGATTGTAAACCAGGCTGTACTTTTGAATCGGAAAACCCTTAAAAAGTTCATTAGCGGTGGTTAATGAACCGTTAATTAAAACCCACCGTCTTTTTGTTATTGATATTTCGTCAAAATTAAATTTTTTAATTGATACTGGTTCTGATTTAAGCGTGTTTCCTCGAAGACTAGTAAACGGTTGGAAGGAAAAATCTAAATATGTTTTATTTGCAGTTAATAGTCAATCAATTAATACGTACGGTCCAATTTATTTAACTTTAAATTTTAATCTTCGTCGAGATTTTGTTTGGCGTTTCATTATCGCTGATGTCGATACACCTATCATTGGTGCTGATTTTCTTAACCACTATGGTTTACTGGTAGATATACAAAATAGTTGCCTTCAAGACAACCTTACAAATATAACTACTAATGGATTTTGCGCTAAATCAACCAAAATACCTCAAATTAAAACAATAACTCAGATTAATAAATATTATAAAATTTTGCAGGAATTTCCTAGTCTAACTCGACCTGATGGTATTTGCAAGGAGGTTAAACACAAAACTACTCATCATATCGTCACGAAATCAGGACCTCCTATTTCCTGTAAGGCGAGAAGGTTGGCACCAGATAAGTTCAAAATCGCAAAACATGAATTCGAGACTATGGTTAAAATGGGAATTGCTAGGCGTTCTAAAAGTAAATTTGCTTCGCCTCTTCATCTTGTTCCTAAAAAGGACGGAGGTTGGAGACCTTGCGGAGATTATAGAGGTGTTAACAATATCACGGAACCCGATAATTATCCTCCTAGAAATCTTCAAGATTTTTCCGCTAATCTTGCTGGTAAAATAATATTTTCTAAAATCCGAATATTATTAGTAATAAACTTTCGTTACTGCCTACGAATTCTTGTAAAGAATTTACTACGACTCGATCAGGACGTAAAGTTCGGTTTCCTGATCGATTGACATTTTCATAACTTATATCAAGTTATTGGGAAGGGAGTAATGTGGTGTATTCGAATGTCTTATCATCGAATGTGATTTTTCGGTACATTACGAGACACCTTTCGTCTTTCAAGTGGACCTATGTTTCATTTCATTTTCACACGCACACACATATGTTTTTCCCCTCTTTATATATTTTTGTATTCACGAAGTTGTGCGTTGCTACGACAATCGCGCATGACTTAGATTCTTATCTTCCTTCGAGAGATTTACTTGTTCGTGATACTACGATTTCTAAGTTTCAATTTATCAAGAATTTTATATCTAAAATTATCAGTGTAATTTCAATTAATCCGAAATTGATTGTTCAATAAAATTAAATTGTTTATTTTATTGATTTTTGAAATATTAAATAAATTCTATTATTTGGTTATTAATTCTGTGATTTTCCTTAAAAGAATTTAAAGCACATGTTCGTTAAAACATAACCCCACACCGCCTTAGGTCACATCAATGATCCGCCCTACTTGAGGCAAAATTTTTTTTAATGACTCGTTCATAGTTAATGAAAATGTAAAAAAGATATTTTTTCGGAAGTTTGCTCTTGAGATTAAGGTGAAATTACACATAGTAAACATTGATTTACGTTTTAAACGTTTGACTTCTGCCTTGGTGACAAATGTAGAAAAATTATAAAAAAATTTGTTTTAGTCAATTCCTTTACCACCCTTAAAAACTTAACGCCCCTAGGCCAGAGCCTTATTGGCCTCTATTATAAATATGTCACTGGTGGCGACATACAGACAGACACAAAGACAGACATACAGACAGACAGTTTTTCTAGACCATGTTTTTCGGACTCAGGGTCAAGTCTCATGGCACCGTTTTGCGTTGCGTTTTGTAACTAGGCCATGAGTGCAAATATAGCAAACATATATCTCCATCTCTCTCACACTCATGGCCTAGTTACAAAACGCAACGCAAAACGCTGTCATGGGACTCCATGGTACCCCAAAACGTCGAGATTTCATGAAATTAGCGAAAGTCAGGCCGCAGTCTCATGGCAGTGTTTTGCGTTGCGTTGTAATGAGAGAGAATGCAGCAAACGTATATTTGCGTCTTTTTCTCTCCCATTACGACGCAACGCAAAACGCTGTCATGGGACTTCACCCTCAATTTTCGACCAAAACTAACACTTTCTCATGTGATAAGAATTTAAAAAACGAAAATGGGGTCCTTTTAAAGTCAAAAATTTAAAAGATCAAAATCATCATTTTTAAAAAATTGACTTTAAAAGGACGCCATTTTTGTTTTTTTTTACTTTTTTTAATTCCATCACGTTAGTCCACTAGGTATTAATGTACACTAAGAAATAAATTTTGTTATTTTTATTTTAGACTGCCAGGAGCGACTCTATCGGGGGCACCGTAAACTCTTACAAATTTGAGATCGCCATTTTGGTGCCCTTTATGAATCGTAAATAAAAGTTGAAACAAGTTGTTCATTTCATGACCATTTAGCTTCCTCAACATATAAAATATAAATTCGTGACGTAATTCACTTACAAAATTCTAGCAAACTCCATCTAAACATATGTATAAAATTAAATTTATCCCATAAAATCGGGAACATACACACACATTCATACAAACATTTATCAATTTTGTTTAAAAATAAAAAATTTATATTAATTTATTTTTATAGCAATGTTTTTTTATGTTTAAAACTTTATTCTAATTTTAATCAAACATTATCATAAATAAATGATTTATAGATTCTAGTAATTTTTTCTTGTAAAAAACCTTTGTTATATCAAAAAATTTTTAAATGAAAAATGAAAACCAAATTATGATTTTTCAAAAGCATAACAATCAAAGCATACATTCTTCTTAAGGAAATTTCTTTTTGATGCAGCAAGATATATTCATAAATTAAATGTAATTATATTGCGGTTTGCAAACTTTTGCAATTCGAAATGATTCGAATTTTCTGTTGTCGAGTCGATTAATGTTCGGTTCGATTAAATACACACCTCTATTTCATATGCAAATTGCTTCTTTTTTTATGATAGAATAATCATTTAAAAATATTAATATTAAATAAATTATGAAAAAATACAAAATTTGAATTTTTTGTGAAAGAGAAAAATTTCTATTAATTTTATAAATTTTGATAAAAAATATACTTTGTATACATCAATCGATTCGTTTTCTTGTCAGGAATGTAATTTTGAGAATAATTAATTAAAATATTAACAGATAAAAAAATTATTTACAAAAATACAAAAAAAATTTTTTTTTGAATTTTAAAAAAATTGTATAAAATTTTTTTTTTTAGATATTTTTGAAAATCCTTGTGTCAGATTTTAGGTATTAATGACTGCAATAAACCTGCAAAATTTCAAGACAATCCATCAAAATTTGTTTGAGATAATTTGTACACAATTTTTGTGACATACACACACACATACACACATACACACATACACACACTCACACATACATCTGGACATTTGCTCAGAATTGAATATACATATGTTATAGATGAAAATGAGTCCATATAACCTTCTTTTGAAAAATTGAAAATCGTCACGAATGCAAAGCTTCCTTATGAGGAAGCAAAACGAAACAATTTTTTTTTGTAGTTTTAATTTTGAATTTAAAGGTACAAAAAAAGTTTTTAATATTTCAAATAAAATGACTGTGAAAAAAAAAGTAAAGTGGGGCCTATTTTTTGCCTTCGCAAACGCAAGTACGCCTTAATTATCAATAAAAGTTTAGACAATGACCATCTCCCCCGGACTTATCCTATAATTACCCTATATTACATTCCCAGTCAAAAAAATTCTATAGAATGGCTACATAGATTGTAGTAAACATATTTTGTTAGAAAAGAGAAAAGTAAGTAATTTAGAAACAAAAATTAATGATAAGATATAAATTACTTATATAAATTTATATAAGTATATAATAATATATATATATAATATAATATATATATAATAATTATATTTATTTATATTTTTTACTTATATAAATATAAGTAAAACAATAAATATGGAAACATTAAATTATGTCTGTAAATTAAAAAAAGTTTAAAATTTTTAATGTTTTAAAAGTAAAAATTTAATACACTGTAAAAAATTTAGAGAGTTTGCGGTCACAGAAGTTGGGAGTGAAATTTTTCGAGTTAAAAATCAACTCCAAAAGGAAGTTTTTTTACTAACTCTCTTCATCAACACCCGCGCGAGTTATTTATTCCTTGAGGAGTTAGCATTTAGGTGCACGGAAAAAAAAGTACGTGAATACTTCCTTGACAGTGCTTGACTTTTGGATAGGACACAAAATACAAGGCTGTTGCATATACTTTTTATTAGAAAATATAAGAAAGTCCTAGAATTATTCTAGTACTAGTATGGCCCATACTATTAATAGAATAATTCTAGGACTTTTTTATATTTTCTAATAAAAAGTATATGCAACAGCCTTGTATTTTGTGTCCTATCCAAAAGTCAAGCACTGTCAAGGAAGGATTCACGTACTTTTTTTCCGTGTGTAAAGTTTTAACTCTCTTTATCCAACTCCCCTGGAATTAACTCCCCAACTGGTGCGACTTTTATAGAATCCCCTGGGGAGTTAAAATTTAACTCCCTTTTTTTACAGTGTATTAATATAATGTATAATTAATAAATATCTATAAAAAATAAAACTGTAAGTTTCTATAGTTTTTTTTTCACTGAACTAAATTGTAGGGGAGACTAAGGTGAGTTGTAACAAAGCCGATTTCTCGAATACTATGACCTTTTGAAAATTTTAAAAAGCGTCAATTTATTACATTTTTGATTCACTATTTGATGCAAATTTACTTGACCAGCTGAGAAAAGTTTATGAGATGTATTTAATATGTGTGCAAAAAAATTGCTAAAAGTAAGTTTTTGGCCGAAATTTTGATACTTTATTATTCGACACATATTAGATTTTTGTTATTCTAATATTTATCTTAATAACTGTTGGATATCCTAGTTTCATGAAATGGTTTTGTTTTTTTGTGTCAGTCTCAAAATGTAAGATAAAAAATAATTATTCGAACCAATGCACAATTTTTCGCACCTAGGCGAGTTGTAACAGGCTGTTTCAACTCACCTAGGTTTACGAAAATTTGTGCTTGATCGAATAGAGACTGTTTGGATTTTTTCCAAAGTATATTGTTTTATATTATGGCTTTAAAAGTAGTTAGAATTTTACAAATTTTCGTGTAAACCACTTTCATATTTTCCAAAGGAAAACAAATATTAATTAAAACATTTTTCGAGTTGCTCTTTCATATACAGAAGTCAAAAATAATATCTACTTATCTGTTTTTTGTTATTATTGAGCTTGTTGTTCATGTTTAATTTAGTTTTTGGTTTAATTTGATTTATATTGATCTCATAGATTTTCTTACTCTAATTACTCCTTAATTATTTAAAAATTCGCAAACAAAATTTTATTATTCTTAAGGACGCTGCACGGTGGGAAATATTTAAAAGTACGCACAGGCGTAGCGAGCGATTTCTCCTCAACTTCCACTCTTTTCCCCTCTTTTCACCTCTCTTGGTGCAATTTTTTGACATTGTTAATTAATTAAAAAAAATCCAGATTAAAAATGAAAAAAAGGTCGATTTAAGGAAAAATAATATTTAATAGTGAATATAAAACAAGTTTTCTTATGACGATTAGATGTTTCTATAGGCGTGAATATCAATCCGCGTTTTACAAAACATAGCAAACTGACAGCTCAATATGGAAGGTTAGTCATGGCCGACTATATCAGATTGCACCGTTTGCGTAGTACAGTAGGAATAAACGTGAGGAACAAAAATATTAAATATCAATTACACTTATTGTTTACTATTATATTTATTATTTGTTTATTTATTTATTATTGTTATTATATCTTATTATTATTTATTATTATACTTACTTTTTAAAGATATTATTATGAAAAAGTATTAAAACAATAAAGGAAAATTTTTTATGAAAATATTATTTACCACTTCACTGGCAGGGCGTTCCAAATGGCGTTCCACGCGCCGAGGCCCAGACTGGCAAAAACACCGAAATGGCGTTCCTAATAAAACTTTATTTTTTAAGAGTGTACACTACTTTTAACTTCTACAAAGCAATATTTCTATAGTTTAGACATCAGGGAACAATATTATCACAATAAAAATTTCAGTTTTTGAGATTTTCAATGTTTCTTCGAACGTTGAAATACTCAATTTTTACGACTTTTCAACAAATGGCGTTCCATTTTCTTTCAATTTTTACGCAGTAAAACTCATATTTTTTATTTAAAAAAATGTATTAATATACAATTATATAATAATATAATGCAATAATTATAATAATAATTATAACAATAATAGTAATTG